CAACCCCGAGCGACCGACCGATTTCTTCTTTGGCGCAAGGCAAATGAGGCCAAGACTATCTCATTTGCTGTTTTGGTGCTGGATTTTGTTTTATCGTTTCGGACTCTCGCCAAGTCAGTGAGGAACTGACACAAGGAAAAGACTTTCAATATCAGCTGAGATGGGTTTGCTATCAAGTAGAGGAGATGGTCACTATCGGATGGCCCAATGTTGTCCTCAAAGTCACTACCAAAGATTCCGAGGCTTAAACGGCCCCAACTCGTTGGTTTTCGCACCAAGGCAAGGCAGTGGCGGGAAACGTCCATGTGACAGCCGAAGCCAGCGACACCACAGACAAGGTGACTTCAGGTGCGCGATGAACGGATGTAGTAGTGGGGCATTTGGGGTGCTACAGGGAACTCCCCCAGATGGTTAATTTCCAATCCCCAGCCAAAACAGGGTCCATGCTGATGAATGCGAGGTTGAAAGTTCAAGTTCGAGCCATTGCTTTCGGAATTGCCGGAGCTGCGCTGAGCCGCTGAGTTGACCGCTGTCAAGCCCTAGGGTCCCTTGCGTTGACATACCCAGATGACATAGACCGTTCCTCCCAGTTCATGTCCACCAAGCGTTGCCGACGCAAAACTTTTCACGGAATGCCCAAGACGCAGCGCCGGTCTTCTCCCTTCGATCCGATCCCTGTCTCTTTTCGGACAGCAATTGGATGTTCAATGGAGAGGTGGGTTTCTGTTCGGCTTCCCGAAAATGACGCCCCTTGCGATTCTTTCTCCAATGTTGTGATCAGTTGTAAACGTCAAGGAGCTGTTGGTTTCTTTAGAGCTTTTGATTGACATATGCCCTAAACTGGTGGATCTGCTTGTGGTGTCCCTCTAAAAGGGGGTCCGCTCCTGTTGGTTTCCCTTTGATGACTTGCTGCACGGGGCCCAAGTCCTCAATGGGAAACTGAGTCACAATGAAAACCTGGTACTCAAATGGTCTACCAAAAGCATGTAAAGACCGGAAGGGCTCCATTTTTCTCGAACTCATGGCAAGGTATCCCTGACTAACCATCATTTTAGCATTGTGGCTCATCTGCTTCTCAAAAAGGGGAACCCGTGCCACTGGGCAACTGGGTGTTTGGTTCAGGGATCCCCTCAATATCAAGCCCTACAAGTTTGAAGGCCCCTTTTTGATGAGCATCAAAGGGAGTTTGTTGTTCCACCCCCCCCCCCCCCCCGCCCCGGCCTGTTTAATTGACTCCCTGTTTAGGTTTCGGTTTTGTGGGTCCCAACAGCAGGTTGGGTGGAGAGCAGGGCTTTTCTTTGAACAGGACAGGTGGTAGTGCAAGACCCCTGCCACTCCGCGAGGGATCGACACGCAGGCGAGTTTGACTCCGTGTGCGGTCAGCAGGCAGACATCGGGCAGCGGGAGACGCCTTGGCCAAGAAAAAACACCTTGAGGGCAAGCATGCTGTCGGACGGAAAGCTGTTTGGTGCTGCTGTGTTTTGCTAGGGCAATTGTGATTTCGGCAGCTGGTTGGTCTGAAAATAAAACGCTGCACTGTCAGGCTTGCTTGGGTTGCTGTGGCCTGCTTACCCTGCCTGACCTGTTTACTTGTGTTGACTTGTTGGTTCCCCTACGCTGCGAGGCACGTGTCCGTGTCAGGTCTCACCCCATGCAGTGCAACACAATGATTTGCAGTGCTTTGAACGAGCGAAGCGGTGGATGCCTGTTGTGCCGTTGATTTGTTGCTGTCGCACTAGTGCTCCTCATAGTTTGCATCGATTCTGTTCTTCTGAGCGTGCCTTGACCCCGTGCTGTTGTAGCAGCGGCACATCGCCATGGCAGTGTTGTCCTCGTTGTCGTCGGCATTTTGATCACGGAGCAGCCAGATTCACCTGTGTCCGATTGGTGAATGGAGCGCGTCCTGCACACGAGCTGCGGTCTGCCTGACTCTTTGACTCTTGAAGGAGCCTTTCGCAATATTGCACTCCATGATGCGGAAGTCACGTCACGTGCCCAAAAGCGAGGGCGTCGAAACTGCAGCGAAGGGGGTCATCACGATGCGTTGCGTCGCGGAATGAGTGTGAGCTGATTAGTTTCATAGAAACGTCACTTCGTAAGTGGAGGAGACCGCGGGCCATCGGTATGGGACCCTCTCACATCTGGTCTCATGGCTTTCTTTTGGACCCAACGGGTGCGGAGTCTGGACAGGGTTTCCCGGAGTTCCTGGTCCGCTGCACTGGAGCCAAGCAGATCGATGCGTTTCAGCGGACAGCGACAGCAAGCTGATTTGAGGTGAGTTTCCTTTTGGTGGGTTTTGGTGGGGTGACGTGTGAAGGGTAAATATGGGCAATCCTATGGAAGAAGCTCCACTGCAAAGTGAGACTTTGGATTCCTCCCCGTTCTTGCAAAGCCATCATTCGTCTGGGCCGGGCAAGCCCGAACCCAGTGTTTAGCAACACGTTTATCGCCCAGAGAAGCCAGGGGGGTTAGCGTTCAGCTGGCCTTTTCTTGCACATGTCAACTTGATTTTGGCAATGCAGCAGACTGGCTTTAGGTGGACGCGCGAACTTGATCTTTGACCAAACAAATCAAATACTCCAAAGGCTGGGATTCTCCGCTGGAAAGGGGTGCGAAGGTGGGTCAGAATAGATCCGCCTGAGGATGGTCTTCTTCAATCAGGAGGGCTTGCGGGCATTCAAGGTCATCCTCTACACGAAAACGGAGCCACGGCCTCAAGCAACCGGAGAGCTTCCTCTTCCTTGGGATGTTTGGGATTGCAGAAGCAGTAGCTCGTTTTGAGGGGGGAAAGAGGTTGCCCCTTCAGTTGGGGTAGAACTTCCTTTGCTGTTGCTTGACTTACCCTTTTGGGGTGCTGTTCCAAGGGGAAGCATGAGGAACCTGATTTTCAACCCTGGTTTTGGTTGCCTTGGATCGTTTGGAACCGAGCCCCCATCCGACCGGGGGTCCGCAGGTGATCTGGATCGCGAAGAATTGCCACGTGGCCGGCCAGGCGCCCGAGCGCTTGAGACCTGGGGACGCCACAAGCGCTATTGAATGTTTGTCGTTTCATGAATGGAACAACAAACAAAGGGTAATTATTGTTTTTTGTTTTGTTCTTGTTTTCTTTTTGGAACCAACACAGGGCATGGCTTTCCAAACGACAACTTCACGTGGCGGACTTCCTCCCAAAATCCGTCATGGGCAGCGCAAAAAAACCCAAGCTGCAGCGGCTTGGACACCTTCCCTCAAGTGCATTTCTCCGCCGCGCCCCCCGCCCGCCAACTGCCAGATGGCTTTGTTTTATTTGCCTCTAGCATTTTGTGAGTGGTAGCGGAGAGGCTGCATTGTTGGTTTCCTTTGGACGGGTTTCCCCAAGTCAACCAAACATGGTTGTTGTTGGGAAACATTTTACATTTTTGCATGTTGTGGTTTAGTGGGAAATCCCAACTTTGCTCCCTTTCAACGTCAACCAACCAAAAGCCTTTTTCTCATGGAAGTCCGCTGAGAGGCAAGCAAGTTTTTTTTTGACGTGCTTAGGTGCTGGCTGCGCACCAAATACCAACGTCTCACACCCCAAGCACCACGCTGGTTGCACTACTTGGCAAGGCAAAGCTTTGGCAAGTTTTGGAGGTGCCGAGGTACCTTCATGAAGGGGTGGGTCCCTTGGTAAGAAAAGAGGCGCCAATTCAACTTCGTAAGAACACGGGGTTGTTGTTTTTTCCAGAAAAAATATATAGGAAGACTCCTTTGTTTCAGGTTTGTCACTTGGACTTTGAGCCATCCCTTCTGTAACATCTTCCCTGCGCGGAACAGAGCGCGTTCTGCTCGCGTCACGCGCAGCGTGTCACGGGCGTTTCGTTTCACGGCGCTTTCGGCCCCGGTCCCACCAGAAGGCGGTCCGAGCTCAGGAGAAAGGTGCGGGGTGGGAGGCTCGCTGCTGAAAATATTTCTTTGACTTGTACCTTTTGGCAGTATATTGGTGGCAAAAAACGGGTTTGGACTGTTTTTGGCAAGTTCACTCGGAAAATGTCGAGTGGCCGATGGCGGGCGATTTCTGCTAGTGATGCGAGTGGTTTTATTCATCGCCGCTGACACATTTGAGTGGCCTTTCTATTGTTGCAGCTTTTTGGGAGCATTCTCAAGTAACTTGAGGGGCACACTAATCACACATATTTGGTCTAATTTTATTGTTTGGCGCTTCTAGAGTTCAGAATTCCAAAGGCCAGTCTCTTTCTTTGAGAGTCAAGGCCCCTTGAAGGGTTCACTACATCCCGGCCGTTTCGCCGGGATGTTTCACAGAACTCGCTTGTGACTAACAACGTTTTTGTGGGTTCCCTTTTCATGTCCCTTCAGACGCCATCCGAAACATGGCCAGGGATACATGCAGACTCTTGCCGCCTCTGTAGACATTAGAGCAACCCAGCAGGTAGCCATATATGTGCAAGCCGAGCACCACCCAGGGATGCGGGGCACGCAGCATTGTCTGTGAGCATTTTCTGGAACGAGGTGTTTGGATCTCCAGAAACGGACCGTGTCACGACAAGTTCCTGTCATGTTATTTTGGGCGGGGGGGTCGGCCAAACTAGCCCGTGTTTTTGGGGGCCTTGTTCTCACTTTGTGGCGGCTTTAAAAGGTATCGCTAAAAAGGGCTAGCATGTGTCAACACACCACGTGTTCTAGGTCAGAATGCGTCCACTCGATGACCCCAAAAGAAAATCCAGATTCCAGTCAGCTCCAGCCTCTGAAACCTCAGACTTTCAAAGGGAACCGTGGTCAAATCCGAAACGAGGGGCAAATCGTGTTGGGGGCATCTGTCGCAGGATTCTCGATCCTCAATCGCCAGTCCCATGTTCAGACTTCGCCGCTTGGGGCTTTGGCGGAGATTCGTGTCTTTGTGAAGGCACCCTTTTTCGAGGTTCGAACAAGGGGCTGAAAGGAAACCGGCCCATGTTGAGGCTCCCGCATTTGGAGACAAGCCCAGAACCCACATGCATTTTAGAGGCTGTTTGGAATGCCAGGAGCCGCTGGCAGAGACAGACCAGACCCAGCTGCCACTTGCCGTTCCTCTTTTGCACTGGGCCCCCAAACCCCTAGCAAAAAGCCTTTGTATATGCCGTTCTTGCGGCTATAAAGTGGTCTATGCCACTACACCCCCGGGGCTAGTGGTTTGCGGGCAGTGGCAGCCATCTTAGATCTAAATCACAGTTTTGCTTTGTGTCCTGTCTTCAAGCTGTGGCAACTGCTTGTGTTTGGGGTAGGGTTTTGCAGAGGCTTCGCGGAGGTTCCGTCTGGGGATACTTCAGTTGGGCTTGGTTTCCCCAAGCTGCAGCTGTGGGGGTTGCCAATTCCGGGTTTCGGACGTCTTGGTGGCTGTTGGCGATACATGTTGGCCTCGGCTCACACAAACATGTTTCGTGTTCCGCCGCAGAATGCCGGACCGAATAGCACGGCGTGCAAATTCTAACGTGCTCCGGTGGCAACATCAGTCACCTAAGGAGGTTGCTTAAAGCGACGTTCGGAAGTGCTTCCCTCGTTTGCATGCTAAGGTTGCCCAAGAAGCCAGTGATGCTGCAAACCAAGTAAACCAGGAGCCAGAGAAGCCAGCTGATCCTCCCAAGGATGTGCCATCACCAGCTGGCCCACCCAAGGATGCGCCAGCGCCAGATGGCCCGCCCAAGGATGCGCCAGCACCAAATGGCCCGCCCAAGGATGCGCCAGCGCCAGATGGCCCGCCCAAGGATGCGCCAGCGCCAGATGGCCCGCCCAAGGATGCGCCAGCGCCAGATGGCCCGCCCGAAGATGCGCCAGCGCCAGATGGCCCGCCCAAGGATGCGCCAGCTCCAGATGGCCCACCCAAGGATGCGCCAGCTCCAGATGGCCCACCCAAGGATGCGCCAGCACCAGATGGCCCGCCCAAGGATGCGCCAGCACCAAATGGCCCGCCCAAGGATGCGCCAGCGCCAGATGGCCCGCCCAAGGATGCGCCAGCGCCAGATGGCCCGCCCAAGGATGCGCCAGCTCCAGATGGCCCGCCCAAGGATGCGCCAGCGCCAGATGGCACGCCCGAGGATGCGCCAGCACCAGATGGCCCGCCCAAGGATGCGCCAGCGCCAGATGGCCCGCCCAAGGATGCGCCAGCGCCAGATGGCCCGCCCAAGGATGCGCCAGCTCCAGATGGCCCGCCCAAGGATGCGCCATGCGCCACCAGATGGCCCGCCCAAGGATGGCGCCCAAGGATGCGCCAGCGCCAGATGGCCCGCCCAAGGATGCGCCAGCACCGAGAGCGCCAGATGGCTCGCCCAAGGATGCGCCAGCGCCGGCTCGCCCACCCAAGGATGCGCCAGCACCAGATGGCCCGCCTAAGGCTGCGCCAGCACCAGACGCACCAACGCCAGCTGATGACAGCTAAGCTTAGTTGCTTAGTTGCCATGGAGCATGAGCAGACGCAGGTGCCAGAAGATGCAACAAACGCCTCTGAGCGGCTTCATCCACACTTATAGCGTGGACTGGTCGCGATGCGCCTTGTGGTCGCAGATCAACTTGCATGTGAGGGGTGCATCACAATGCGCACAGCAAAACATGATAGTTCTTCTGGTTTCCCTCTACAAGCCATCCAACACGGATCTCAATTCTATCAAACACTCATATGATCTGCAAGAGGGTTGGACCTCAATTGTGCTCTTCGCACGCTGCGCAAGACAACTGTCCACCTTGTCGCTGACCGGGAATCGGTCCACATCATGAGTTCGTCAAGGAATGCCACAGCCGGTATGAGAAGCACTGTATGAGTAACGAGTGCTGCTACGGGAGCATGGACGGACCCCCACACTACTCTCGATCTTTGCTCAAACAGGGGGTACCCAAATGGGTGAATGGGTGTGTCTCAAGATGTTGGGAACTGCAAGCTGGGGGGTCTGTGTTTGGATTGCCTTTGGATCACTCCTCAAAAGGGCACGCTGGCCATCGCGACCTACCTCGTTGAGCCAAGGAGGTCGAGGGGCGCACCCCCGATCTTCCAGCTTTCTCTGCAGGGAATGGGCCCTTTTCCGGTCTGAGGGAAGCTAAGGCGCAACTGTTGGGGTGAAGAGTCAGGATTGCCTTTTGGGGGGGGGGGAGAGGAAATTGGCATATCCTCCAAACATCCCCTTTTTGTGAAGAACCCTGTGCTACCTCCAACAAATGGGGAGGGGTTTGGGGTTGGGAGGGAGAAGACTGCGGTCCACTCCCGGGATCCGTTTGGGTCCCGCCTCCCGAAGGGACCTGCGGCGACCCGGCGGATTTTCCTTTTTCCACACCACAGTGCCTGGATCGCATGGCGAGCTGACACTGGCATTTGGAAGTTGAGTCCAAGCACTTGATCCTGAGGGTCGGTACACTGTGCAACTCTTCAGCTCTGTTTTGGCCAGACTGGACTCACAAGGGGCTTGCGGCTGTCTCCGTTCCGATGCGACCAGATTGCCCCGGCATGCGACACGCATGCGCAGCGCAACACGAATGCGCAGTGGGAGTGGGAGAAAGGTGCACAATTGGACCCGACAATCCACTTACAGTCTGGTGTTTAGTTTGGGCCATTTTTCGCAAGACATTTTTCGTGGCAAACCCAAAGTTTGGTCTTTTCTAATTCAAGTGAGGTTGGTGTATCCGAGTTTCCATCTTCCACAGGGGCCAAAAGAACATTCGATCCCGAATTCGGATCCTGTGGGGTTACAGACCAAGGGTCGGCCTCTGGACCACCCACTGCCCCATTTGTTGACAAGCCAAGGGAGCCTCCTTTCACTTTCAGGCGCTCCAAACACTTAGAGCTTGAGGTTGAACAATGGCTAACCTTAAAGGCGCATTGGTAAACATGGCTGGCCGGCCTTCACGGACGGCCACTTTGACCGCAACCACAAAGAACCAAATGGCAGCCTAAACAACCAGCCAAGCAATCATTCTAGGCAAACGACCTCACCCATAATGAAGCTTCCTCTCTTGGGGGATTCCTTAATTTTAGGTGGGTGAAATCATTCCAATTCATGCGACTTTTCAAAGGGCAATGCTTGCGCTTGGCAAGTCGGGGCATTCATGAAACCGTAACACGGGCACCCGTGCGGGGCCGCTTTCGAAATGGGCGTGGCTCAAAGTTTTATATGGCCAGGGTTCGGGTGTTAGTCTTTGGTTCCATTTATCAAGGTGCCATTTTGATACATCTTTTCGAGCAGCCAACTCAAAGTCGCCTCAGCATGTTGTTCCAGCCTTGGGAGGTCTGCAGGCAGCTGGGCCTCCCGGGCACCGCCTGGGCACGGGCGCCCAGTGGTTCGAAACCGGGGGGAGGAGCCCTCGAAAGAGGGGAAAGAAGGGGAAACAAAGCACACACGTGTCTTCTTTTCAAGGATATTTGCAGCAGGGCATTTTGCCAAGGGATGTTTGGACTTCAACTTTTTGCCACCTAATGGGTTTTCCATTAACCCACTAAAACTTAAACTGTTAGCAGGGGAGCAGAAAGCAATCGGGTCATTGCAGATGGAGCTCTTGGTGGTTCCAAGCAAAGCTGCTCACTCTTTTCTACCAGCGTCGAGGGTTTCGGCGACGGGGGGGCTCCATCCTTCAACCCTATGTGTGGCACCTGCGGGTTCTCGGCGCCCAGGCTTCGCGGGTCAATTTTCGGGCTCAACTTGTAGAGAGGGAAAAGGACAGCCGCACAGGACTCCAAGTGGAACAAGTTTCCCGAAGTCCCAAGAACTTTGGTGCATTTTGCCAAGGGATGTTTGGACTTTAACTGTTTGCCAACTCATGGGTTTTCCGTATCAAACCACGAAAAGTTAAACTTTTAGCAGGGGAGCAGAAAGCAACCGAGACAAGGTCTGAGGGCCAGATGCTTGGCCCAAGTCCAGGTTTCGTTTACGCAACGCTTCTTCCGAACCCGGCAGAAGAACTTAGCGAGTTTCAGTTGGAGAACTTAACGGAGGGCCATTTTTTTTAGGATTTTTTTTTCTCCGTTTTTTTTAAGGAATTATTTTTGTTTTTCAGGGTGGGTGGCTTTTCGGCTTTTTGGTTTTTGTGGCTTTTACGTGGGTTTTTGTGGCTTTTGTAGCTTTTCTTTTCGCATCCTCTGCATTCACAGTTCCTCTCTTTCGCATCCTTTGCATTGCCAGTTCCGCTGGCTTTTTGGCTTTGTGGCTTTTGGTGGCTTTCCAGGTTTGGCTTTTCGCATCCTCTGCTTTCCCAGTTGGTTTTTGACCTTGGCTTCCTGCATCCTCAGCATCGCAAGTTCCTCTCTGGTGCCCCCGCCACCCCCCTTTCGATTCAAATACACGTCTAAATCACTTTTTTCGATCATCATGTGACAGCTGCTTTTTAGATTCTTTGGCTGCCGTTTTACAGGGATTAGTTTGCCCGTGATTGAATCCTCACTTGTGCCATGAGGCCTTGCCGCAGAGGAACTGATGACCCCCCCGCTGCTTTTTTTTAAATATTTTTTTGTCCCTAATTGAATCATCACTTTTTCAATCATCGTGGGGGGGGCTGCCGCCCCCCCCAACCCCCCCGCTATTTTTTGGACTTTTTGCCCCTATTTGAATCATCACTTTTTCGATCATCATGCGACCGCTACTTGTTAGGTTCTTTGCCCCTAATTGGTCGATCATCATGGGGGGGCTGCCGCCCCCCCCAACCCCCCCGCTATGTTTTAGACTTTTTGCCCCTGATTGAATCATCACTTTTTCGATCTGCAGGGATTAGTTTGCCCGTATTTGAACCCTCACTTGTACCATGAGGCCTTGGCGCAGAGGCACTGATGCCCCCCCCGCTGCTTTTTTTATATTTTTTTGGCCCATTGAATCATCACTTTTTTCAATCATCATCCCCCCCGACTTTTTGCCCCTGATTGAATCATCACTTTTTCGATCATCATAGGGGGGCTGCCGCCCCCCCCCCCAACCCCCCCGCGCCTGTAATTGAATCATCACTTTTTCAATCATCATGGGGCATCCTCACTTGTACCATGAGGCCTTGCCGCAGAGGAACTGATGACCCCCCGCTGCTTTTTTTTAATATTTTTTTGTCCCTAATTGAATCATCACTTTTTCAATCATCGTGCGGGGGGCTGCCGCCCCCCCCAACCCCCCCGCTATTTTTTGGACTTTTTGCCCCTATTTGAATCATCACTTTTTCGATCATCATGCGACCGCTACTTTTTAGATTCTTTGCCCCTAATTGTTCGATCATCATGAGGGGGGCTGCCGCCCCCCAACCCCCCCGCTATGTTTTAGACTTTTGCCCCTGATTGAATCATCACTTTTTCGATCTGCAGGGATTAGTTTGCCCGTATTTGAACCCCGGCCTTGGCGCAGAGGCACTGATGCCCCTCCCGCTGCTTTATATATATATATATATATTTTTGGCCCTAATTGAATCATCACTTTTTCGATCATCTTGGGGGGGCTGCCGCCCCCCCCAACCCCCCCGCTATTTTTTGGACTTTTTGCCCCTGATTGAATCATCACTTTTTCGATCTGCAGGGATTAGTTTGCCCGTATTTGAACCCTCACTTGTACCATGAGGCCGCGGCGCAGAGGCACTGATGCCACCCCCGCTGCTTTTTTTTTATATATTTTTTGCCCTAATTGAATCATCACTTTTTCAATCATCGTGGGGGGGGCTGCCGCCCCCCCCCAACCCCCCCGCTATTTTTTGGACTTTTTGCCCCTATTTGAATCATCACTTTTTCGATCATCATGCGACCGCTACTTTTTAGATTCTTTGCCCCTAATTGTTCGATCATCATGGGGGGGGCTGCCGCCCCCCCCAACCCCCCCGCTATTTTTAGACTTTTTGCCCCTGATTGAATCATCACTTTTTCGATCATCATGGGGGGGCTGCCGAATCCCCCCCCCAACCCCCCTGCGCCTTTAATTGAATCCTCACTTTTACCATGAGATGCGGGAAGCCAATTTGCTGGTGATGCTGGCGATGTTGGCTGGACATGCGGGGGATGTTGAAAACGATGATGTTGACGGACGCGTAAAATACGTACATTTCGCGAGAAAATGCTGTAAATTACAGCATTTAAATAAAAAATAAATAAAAAATAAAAAACAAAATCCCAAAATAAAACAAAAAAAAACCCCAAATTAAATCTCGACCCGAACTCAACTCAGTGCGATGCAGTAAAGACAAGCAGGGCTCCTGGTTTGAGCCCGGTTTGAGCATTTCAACGCAACCCAATCATGATCCAAATTTGGTGCAGTCCAGTTTCAGCCGGTTCATCCTTGGCTCGGTGTCCAGTTTTGGCCAGGGACCCACAAGGCTGGGGGCAACTTGTGAGCTGATCTGCACGGGACACGCTTGTCCCTAAATGGGCACGTCTCAGAAAGGGAGGAGCTCCCCAGTTGTTCCTGTTGTCTTTCCTTCAACCCCACCCCCAAAACGGAAGCCGGGAACCATCCTCTAGGTTTCCCTTTGCAACCCCGGACCTGGGCTTGCCTCAAAATATAAGCCAGTTCCTTCTTGGTTTGCCAAG